GTAAGAGTGGTATCCCTTTCCCCTGGCATAGAGGCAGGAAGGAAATGAACTGTTTCAGAATTTGGAGCACAAATCTGCAAGTTAAGAAAAAAAAAAAAAAAATAGAAGGACAAGGTACACAGTGTCTGCTGAACATTACTACACGTTATGTTGACATCTAGGGAACTGGATAATTTATTTGAAAGATTGACCATATATCCCTTTTACACCTATCTCAGTGGCATTGATTGCTTCTGGTTTCCCCCAAATAAAATAATTTTTCTGAGTATTGTTATATGTAAAACAATACTTTCAGACCTCTGTTATTGACTGATTTTTATTTTTAAAAGTGTAATATATCGCTCATGGCTAAGTATGAATGGTTACAGGGAGCTGGAGTCAAACAGTGCTACCTCATGAATACATCATCTTTTGTTTGGTGACAAACAAGGACAATCCAAATTCCATGTGTGCAGATTTCCTTTCCTTTCCTTTCCTTTCTTTTCCTTTCCTTTCCTTTCCTTCTTTCCTTTCCTTTCCTTTTCCCTTTCCTTTTCCTTTTCTTTTTATCTTTTTTTTTCTAAGTTCCTAGCAGTATTGAGTAAACACACATACTCTCTCTCTCTCTCCCCCTTAGCATCAGTTGAAAATCTTCTGAACTTAGTTGTTATTTTGCATGACTTTTTCCAGCTAATGTTTCTATCTCCAAGGTTGTGGTGAGGAGAAATACGTTTATTCAACAGCAAAAATACTTTTATCTCTGATGGTAAAAAAAAGATTCAAGTGTAATAAATACACGCAAGCGATGAACACCTTGATTATACAACTTGTCTTGACTTTTTCTAAACCCTGATTACTGGTTAATTTATTTTTGGCAGTTGGTTTACTGGTCTGGTTTGATTGTCTTGGTTCATGTACCCATTAACAGATTCATTTCTATGATGAATAACTTGGTAACTTATTAGAAACTTCTTTTGTCTAGACGCTATTAAAATTCAGGAAGCATTGCAAACCATTCGTCATTGTAACAAGCTCTAAATATGATTACAAAATCCATTCTGCAAGTGCTATCTATTGATTTATACTAGAAATCAGTGATAACTATACTATCAGGAGTCAACCAGCGATTATAACACCTATGGCTTTTCTAATGCTATTGCAGACTATAAACACATGACAAGAAGAGCAGATTGTAGTTGTCTAGAGCACATGCAGGAATTATTTATTTGGGTTGGGCTGGTACTGTTTATTTAGGTTGTTTCTTGAAGTTCAAATTCTAGATTGATGTACTGAGCATAAAATCCTGAAGATGTGGAGGGAGAATTTGCAGCATTGTTCCTGTGATGTCAGTGTTCTGTAGATCAATAATGAAAGCATTAGATTTGGGTTACAGAGTTTGAGGGGAGTTCAGGCCTTAATGTGAGATGGAAAGCTTTAAAATTGGTGAAATTGAAAATATAATCTAATGAAACAGTTGTGTTATAATTCATAGGTTTTACAGCAACAGTTGAAAACTGTTCAATTGTCAACTTCTTTTCCTGATACCTGACCTATTAAAATTTTTAGAATTCTTAGGAGAAAAACAAGCAAACATTAAGTTTGTATAAATAATAGATCTCAATTCTAAGAGCTAGATAGAATATTCATGGACTGAGCAGCTCCTCTAACACTTTAAATTAACATGTTGTGAAGAGAAGATTTAAATGTACAAAATTTTCTGTTTTATTCTCCTGTGGGAAGCTGAAGAAAAGTAAGGTGTTACTGTTTATTTTCTCAGGAAAGGTTATTTAATCTAGTTGTTTGCTAATTATTTAGACATGTGTGTCCAAGTGGGTATTAAGTTCATCCATTCATTTGCGAGTATGGATTGACTACCCTCACTGTCTACAGAGCAATTTGCTGGGTGCCATAGTTAGTCTGGAAGTCCCTTTGCAGAAAGAGTTGGATATTGTCTTTGAATGGATGACAACCCAATGAGATAAATCCTTGTTTATAAAGAGGGCCTAAAAGCAGAAAGAACTTCAGATCTCTGAACCAAAGGGTGTATATGTCCTCTTACCTTAAAAATGTCATGTCATATAAAAAATGTTTTACCCAACTCTTCTTTATTTGATTATCTCTTAAAACATCCAAGTTCCCTCGTAATGTAGTGTCTAAAAATGGTCAGCAAACAAACAAAAACACAGTTTGAACAAACCTACCTTGAATTGAAAGAAGATTGAACAGAGAAATAGTTGAGCTAGGGCAACATTGGTATTGGGCAATCAAACTACACTATCCTTCAAAGAGCATTCTTTATTTCTGTTAGTAACTGTAGCAGTCCTCCAGAGTAACAGTGTGTTGAGGATACTATTTCTAAACTGAATTCCAAAAAATGGTGTGGTAGTGAGGATTTAGCAACCTTGGCTGGCATGTATGAGCAAAATAAAATTGTTTTATAGGTAACATTAATTGCTTTGAAATGAGAACCTAACATATTGTCTGGGGCCTGGAAAAAATGACGGTTTATAATTTGGCAAAAATATTAAAATTAGTTTTAAAGTAATTTCTGAGTTAATGATTAGCCAGTAATCTCCTATATAAAATTCATTTTCATTAAGAGCTTAATTTATGTCATTTTGTATTGGTAATTATTCAGACTTTAAGGGAAAGTGACAAATAGCAGTTAGAAGACAAATGCCTAGCTGTGAGAATTCAGCTTTTCTTGCTATTGACAAGGTATTGATTCACAGCACTTTAAATGTGGTCATGTGTCAGTTTCATTTGAATAGACTACCTCTTGCTGTGTTACCTAAAAGAAGTTTGTGTCCTCATTCCAGTTTAAGAAGGTTAAAGGTTAAAGGTTAAGGGTGAACTTAAAAGCATCATCTGCCTCACTGCTTAACTTTAAGCTGATCAATTTAATGAAAATCTGTTTTACAGATGTTGTTTTAATGTATTTGGCAGGATTTAGGCAGCCTTAACATTAGACGTATGCTAGTAAAAATTATTTCTTTATTTGACCAGAACAACACCTTTCCTTTTATGTTTAAGGTAGAAGGCTTGTGGGTTATGGTATTTTGGCAAAGAACCCAGAGGGAGAATGCGTTGATGATCTTTCCATATGGACTCACAGAAAGAATACCTTTATGTCTATTGCTAACGATGGCTACAAAAACAAGCAAAGCTGTATTCATTTTTTGGCAGTACTATTTTCCTGAGAATTTTTTTCAAAGGAATTTTCTTAAGAGAATCTTAATTCTTCAAGCAAAATTTTCTGAAGTGCTGTTTTGACTTCCCCCAGAAATTTTCATGATAAAGCAAAATTGGTAGGGGAAATTAAAACAATAGAATGAAACTGCAGCTTGCTCTTAACCCTCTCTTTTAATGTGTGAAAGTATATTTAAAGTGAGGTTAATACTAAATGTATAGGCAGCTCTAGTCAATATTGCCAGGTAAAATGGATATGTATTTATATCCATCTATATCTGTATCTAATGCGAAAACAGTGTTTCTCAGCTAACCACTTTGTTAGATTTGATTATATTCTTCTAATTTCATGCCTTTGCATCCTTTACAAATTTTTGTCAGTTGATATTTGTATAACGAGTTGTCAGTAAATATTTGCAGGGTGAACAATGGAATAATGAATAAACTGGACAATGTTTTCAAGAAACCCCTTTAAAATGCATTGCAATTTGGTCTGCCCTTTAAATGATCCCAGACTTTTTCAAAACAAGTTCAGTAAAAAGATATAATGAAAAACCACTTTGCAGTACACATTCAAAGTAAGAAGAAACAAATAAGACTTGGGTGATATTTCTGATTTACAGTTTCGCCTGTTCTTGGCTCAGAATGGCCAAGACCTTTCCGACCAGCTGATGGGACTGTGGTCATCCCTTGTGGGACTTGGCACACCTGCACCTCCACTTCTCTTAGAGGATACAATATGTATTCTAAGGGAGGTGTTCACAGCATTAATGGTTCAAAGTCAAGAGCTGAATTATCCTAGCTATTTTTCTTCCTTCATCTGCTAGAAGTGAAGCAGAATAACCTCTCTGAATTCCACAATGCTGTTTTCATATTTGGGTTTCAAATTCGCTGAGAGCAGTCAATGAATCTCTTGTCTCCACGGTGAGCAGAGGAACACACATGGGATTGACTCCTAGGTAACTTTTAGTGTAACATTCCCCCAAGGAATATTTTTGGAGTTTTCTCATTATCCATGTTATGGATGAAAGAATGTGGGTTAAGAACTGACATTCTGATGTGAGGGAGGGTCAAAGAAGAGACTGCAAGGAGCCACACTGGCAAAAGTATGTGGTGAGGGAATAAAAAATGGAATAATTAACCTCACCTACATTCCTTTTTTTTTTTTTTGCCAATTTTTTTTCTAGTAGGAAATAGTAGCCTGATGAGTTTGGAATTAACAAAGAATCACAAGGATTTTTGTTTCAATAGGCCTGAGTCCACCTTTGCAATTTAAAATCAAATACCCCAGATATGTTCCATTGCAATTATGGAACTGTCATTGTCCCAGTGTGATGGTAAAAGAGGTCAGGAGATTGTGTGGGACACATTTGCATAAAAGTCATTGTGCAAAAGGAAATTGGAATATGTGTGTGTGTCTAAGAAACCAAAACAGGTTTTTCTCAATCTTATTCTAGTCATTTGTTTAGATGAAGAAAGCTGTTTGCAGAGATAAACAAAACTTATTCTTTTCTGTTGCTAAATGTTAACCTGAATATGGAAAACTGCACTTTTTGTATTAGTTTCAGATTTATGTTCCTTTCAAAGTTGAAATGCAGTGTGAAATTCAATTCCAGTTGCAGTATTTATTTAAAAAAGTAATCACAATTCAAGTTATTTTATTGTATTCTCATGTAAAAAGCCAAGGCAGAGGTTGGAAAAAGTTTCCATAGTAGAACAATACATGCTTGCATAATGCTTAGGACGGATAAATACACAGATCAAATACAGAGGAGCTGGTTAGCTAATAGCAACTAATAAATCACTGGTGTTCTGGATCACAATGTAATTGG